AATAAACTCAAGAAGAATAGAAAAAAGTATAAGGGAAAAAATAATTAATTAGAGATGATCAACAAAATAAAAAACGGGTTTCTGAAAAACCAAAACAGGCAAACCTCTGGCAGGATAGATAAAGAAATAAAAAGAAACAATAAGTAAAAAATGTTAGAACAAATAGGGGACCAAGACCATAATTATAAAGACAGTGTTGTTGTTAGTTGTTATCGAGTTGATTCCAACTCATGGTGACTCCCATTTGTGCAGAGTAGAACTCCTTAGACTTGTCAAGGCCATGATCTTTTGGAAGCCTGTCTTCCAAGGAACCTCTGGGAGGTGCAAACAGCAGCAACCTCTCAGCCAGTAGTCAAGAGTTTAACTGTTTGCACCGCCCAAAACCAAAAAAATCAAACTCACTGCTGTCGAGTCAGGTACAACTCAGAGCGACCCCTCATTGGGTTTCCGAGGCAGTATCACTACGGAAGGAGATTGTCCAATCTTCCTTCTAAGGAGTGGCTGGTGGGTTTGAACTGCCAGCCTTCTGTTTAGCAGTCAAATGCTTAGGCACTATGCCACCAGAGCTCCCTTGTACCAACCAGGGACTCCAAAATAACCAGAAGACATCAAAAATAAATAAATAAAATAAAATCACAGGCTAGAAATTCTATGGCTAGAAATCTGAATTCAAAACAAGATGCTTGATACATTACAAATGACCAAAACTGGTTTAAGAGGAAACAGAAAACCTGAACAGACCAATAATCATTACAGAAGTTTAACTGGTAGTAGGAAGTCTCCCCTGAACAAATACAGAACACCCAGGCAGTCTTACAAACAATTTTACCAAGCCTTTAAGGAATAGATAGCAGTGTCATTTGCTATTGAGTCAATGTGTGTCAGAGTAGAACTGCCCTCACCATTGTTTTCAATGGCTGATTTTTTGGAATTGGATTACCAGGACTTTCTTCTGAGAAGTCTCTGAGCGGACTCAAACCCTCTAGCCTTTTAGTTAACAGCCAAGCAAATTAATTGTTTGTACCTCCACAGGGCCTCCTAAGGAACTATAGTATCTGTCTTACATAAATTGCTTTGGAGAATTAAAAAAAAAAAAAAAACTATCCAACTATTTTTTATGTAAATATAATATCAAAACTAGACAAAACAAAAAGAAAATTATCAAACCAAACCACTATGTACATAAATGCTAAAATTTGAAGTAAATATTAACAAATTTAATTCATCACCACACTAAAAAATATACATCATGGCCATGGAGGGGGGGAAAAAAAAACAGTTGCTATTAAGTCAATTCCAACTCACGATGACACCACATGTGTGAGAGTAGCAGAACTATGCTCCATAGTATTTTCAATGGCTGAATTTTTAGAAGTAGATTGCCAGGGCTTTCTTCCAAAGCACTTCCGGGTAGACTCAAACCTCCAAGCCTTCAATACAGATGAGCATGATAAGTGTTTGCACCACCCAGGGACTCTTATCATGGCCATGAAGAAGAGTTAATTGCAGACATGCATACGAGAACAGTCTATTAAGGTACTGTGCCTTTTCAACAGACCAACAGAAAAAAACCAAGCCAATGGCACCACAGACAAGTTGGATACAGCTAAGTCAATCTTCCATGTGCTGCTCTGGGACAATATAAATTGAATAGTATCAAACTGACCCAATATCCCCTCTGAAGAGAAGAGTAAAAGCTAGGTAACAAAGAGAAAGTTATTCAAGGTTACATGAGCTCATGGGAATCTGAAAACTCTGGAATACTGTTCTTATTCTTCCTAAGGACTGCTAATATTCCAATTTCGGAAGCAAAAGGTCCCAGAGTAGTACTTTCCTTACTACCTCATGCTTCTGGATTTCCATGCAATTAAATTAATTCACAAAGCACTTTGTGTCTCTTCTTTGCAGTCTTAAGAAAACTGACTAACAGGAAGGTCCAGTTTTTATGGGACTTGAAGCTTATATAATTTGAGGAGGAACATATCTAAGAAAAAATATACAAAAATTACAAATACAATTAGGGATGAATGAGCCAGGAAATCACAATAAATTATAAATTAAAAGCACAAAATCATAAAATCTAGAGAAATAATATTTGTACTTAGATTTAAAAAAATAGGCGAATTATTATTCACTGCATCATTGTCTAAAACAGTTGAAAAACTTAAATGTTTATCCACAGAACACTGGATGAATAAACTCTGGTACAGTCATATAATATAGTACTATGCAAGAGTCAAAAAATTGAGAAAGATCTCTATAAACTGAGATGAGTGGTTTCCAGGACATATTTTTAAGTGTAAAAAAAAGCAAAGGGAGAAAGAATATGTTTAATATGCTACCTTTTAGAAGAAAAAAGAATACATATATTCTTTTTTTCATTTTACTAAAAGACATAAAGAAAGAATAAACCAGAAACTAATGAAAATAGTAACCAGCAAGTGGCAGGTGGGGAAGAGGTAGAAGGGACAGGGATGGGTAGAAAACTTCTCAGAGTAAACTTTTTTATGTAATTTTTATTTCTAAATCACACAAATGTTTTCCATGGCTAAAAAATAATAATAATAATTAAATTTAAAATGACAGAATAAACCAAGCCCTAAAATGAAATATAAACAAAGGAATCTAATTATGTTAGGTGTTGTCAAGTCGATTTTAAATGACGTCGACTACGTGTGACAGAATAGAACCGCCCATAGGGTTTTGTAGGCTGTAATCTTTACAGAAGAAGACTGCAAGGCTCCAATGGAGCCACAAAGTAGGATCAAACTACCCACCTTTAGGTTAGCAACCATGTGCTTAACCATTGTGCCATTAAAATCAAACCAAACTCAATGCCATCGAATCTACTGCAACTCATAGTGACCGCTGTTGCATTTCCGAGGCGGTAAATCTTTGTGGAATCGTAGACTGCCCCATCTTCCTTCTGTAGAACCACTGGTGGGTTTGAACTGCCAATCTTCTGGTTAGCAGTCAAATGCCTTAGACACTATGCCACAAAAGCTCCTTATTGTGCTATTAGGGCTCCTTTTAATCTAACTACCTACCAAATTAATACCATAATCTAAACCCAGTACTCTGACTATACACTCTTAGTTGAACACTTTGCTAAGGACAAAAGGAAAATAAAAATAAAAATTCACCTAATAAGTTTGTGGTTGGTATTGATACTGGTATAGCAATTCTGATACCATTTTATGTATATTGTTTTATAAAGCAAGTAAGTAAAATAATGTAATGTTGGGAACTAGGGTTATCAGTGTAGGAAAAAAGAAAACACGGAATTTGAAGAGGAGGAGGAATAATGCTGTAGTGTTGAATTTAAATTAGTAGTATCAATATGGGCTTATAACTTTAAAAAAAAAAACCATAAATAACTCTTCTTTCCACTGAAAGGGTCTTGAGGCAACACCACCAAAGTAACAATGAACACACCTACTTGCCAAATCTTAGTTTCTAAATGTGAATAAAACAACAAAAAGAAAACAAAACCAAAACATCGAGGCCCTCTGGCAAAATGGCTGATTCGAAATATGAGGCAAGGGAAATAAAAGGTAAGTCTGGAGCATCTTGTGATAGCAGGCAAGGAAATACCAAAGACTAATAAGGAAGACACATCAAAAAGACAAGGAGTTAGATTAAAGGGACAATTACTGGCCAAATTTGGGACAACTAAAGCCTTTAAAAAAAAAAAATGGCAATGGATAATATTATTATTCAATATAAATTCCTAATGTTATTTCAAAAAATAAAATAAATGCAGAGGGAAGAGGAGTATCTACTTCTTAAACCAAAAAAACACTAAAAAATAATACAGAAAGAATGACAAAATTAGAAAATCACCACTCTGAAGTTACAAATATAGTAACTAATTCTGGCAAGGACCATCAGTAGATGCTGAAACTACTGGCTGAAAGGTTGTTAAGAACAGGATACTCACATTTCAAAGTATCACCCCATGGGTTACTTTTTAATTGTAACGGGAGTGAGCATCTTTAAAATGGAGAGATCTAGAGGAGACTATGTAAAGCAAATGAGAGAATCTAGTATTATCAAAAATTGAACAAACTAATAGAAGTGTCCTTATATGATGGAAAATACAAAACATCAACTATATTCTATTCTTGACAAGAACATTTATCTACATTATAATCGTAAGGAAATCATCAAGCAAATACAGAATGGTGTGAATATCCTACAAGTTAACTGATATGTAAGAATCAAAAATGTCAATGTGAAGACATGAGGGGAACAAAAGGCAGCAATAGGGGAAGGAGTGTGTGAGCTCAAAGGAGACTAAAGAGATACAACAAACAAGTGTACTATGTGATTCTTGACTGGATCCTGGATTATTTTAAAGCTATAAAGAATAATGGAAGACTGGACAATCTACTTCCACAGAAATATACCTTGGAAACCCAAAGAGGGGTCATTATGAGTCGAAATCGACTTGACAACAGTGAGCTTGGTTTTGTTTTGTTTTTTTATTTTTTTAAAAAAAGAATAATGCTAATATAACCAGGGGATTCTGGTTTTACCACACACTGAATAATAAAAAATATTATCATAAAAATATTAAACTTCTTAGGTAGAATAACAATATTATGGTTATGCAGAAGAATATGGTTGCTTTTATGAAATACAATAATTAGGGTGTCAAGTTATAATTTATTTCCAACCTATAAACAATAAGAAAACTTATCAAAAACAATGAGAAAAACAATGAGAAAAAAACAGACGTTGTATAATCTATAAAGATAAAGCAAATATGGCCATTATTAACAATTAGTAAATCTATGTTAAAGGTGCAGGAAGTTATACTTCTCTGAGGTATGCTTGTTAACTTTTCTGAGGCCTGAGCTTTTCCAAAAGGAAAAATTTTAATGCGGACACCAATATCACTATTCTCACTAAAAAGCAAATGAAGAGTCCCCACAGCTTACAAGGGAACAGTAACAAAACTATATATGCTCCAAAGTCCTGAAATGATAGCTACTCACCCAAGAACAGTGCCTGTTTCTTGGTAATTTACTTGAATAAACTTGCCAAATCGACTTGAATTGTTATTATGCGCTGTCTTTGCATTTCCAAAGGCCTGTCAAAATAAACAATTCTCATTAGCTTCATTTTTAAAAAATTTGGAAAGCTTTGTTTAGGTCAGTTCAAAGAGATAAAATGCTGAATAGGTAATAGAAAAGCAATTCACTTACACCATTAGATTGATATTCATGATTCAGATAAAATGAGAGAAAGCAATTAATAATTAAAATAATATCAAACATATTATTTTAAGCTATTCAGTAAAATCTTAACTTTCAGAAAAAAAGGAATGCTTATTAAAGTGCAAATGTCTTTCACATTCAAAAGTCAGAAAATTTCCGAATATATACTTAGATATATATAGCTTGCTAATCTAAAATAACAAAGGGCTAAAAGAATATTATCAAAATAATTTTAATTTTAGAATAGTAAAAATGAAATGAAGTTTCATTACATAAAGTAACTACACCGATTTTAAAAAAGCTACCAAAAGAAAACCAAACCAGTTGCCATTAAGTCAGTTTTGACTCATGGGGTGGTGCAACTGGTTAAGATTAGTGGTTAGAACCCACCCTGAGGAGCCTTGGAAGAAAGACCTGGAAATCTACTACTGAAAAAATCATAGACATGTAAACTTAGAATTTCATGGATTCCTAACGGTACTTCAAAAATTAAATGAAAAGGAAAGAGGGGAGTATCTTTTTATAGAAAAATACTAGCTAATAGAGAAGAATGACACACAGCCTTACAGCATACAGTTCTACTCTGCAACACATTGGGTCACCATGAGTCATGAACAAAGCTACAATAAGAAAACTATAAACTGTAACCTAAAATGTTACTCAAAGTACATATCATACAACAGAATACTGCCCAGCAATAAAGATGAACAAACTAAATACAGACATCAACACTGTTGTTGTTGTTGTTGTTATGTGCCATTGAGTCAGACCCTATTCATAGGGACCCCTCCTTGGGTTTCCGAGGCAGTATCACTCCAGAAGTAGATTACCCCATCTTCCTTCCAAGGAGTGGCTGGTGGGTGGGTTTGAACTGCCACCATTGTTAGCAGTCAGGTGCCTTAGGCACTATGCTACCTGAGCTCCCAACATCAACATTGTTGTTGTTGTTGTTGTTATGTGCCTTCGAGTCGGCCCGACTCATAGCGACCCCTCCTTGGGTTTCCGAGGCAGTATCACAACGGAAGTAGGATTGCCCAACCTTCCTTCCGAGGAGTGGCTGGTGGGTTTGAACCGCCAGCCGTCTGGTTAGCAGGCAAGTGTCTTAGCCACTATGCTACCAGAGCTCCCAACATCAACATTAGTGAAGGCAAAACATATGTAAGAGAAAGACAGTAGGTAAAAGTACACAGATTGCATAACTCCATTCATATGAAATTGTAGAAAAAACAAAACTAGGCTAACAGGAAGCAGAGCAGAGAGATTACCTGGGAATGGGCCAAGAGGTGGGAATAAAGAAACTATATGGGGTGATGAAAATATTCTATACCTTGATTATATTATGGTAAGAACAGTGATGTATGTATTTGTCAAAACTCATAAAGCTATATTAAATGTGTACATTTTAAGTTATAACTCAATATATCTCAAAGCTGACATTAATTAAAAAAAAAAAAAAGTGCTGACCTAGCCAAGCCATTTATATTTGAAAAACCAAAACTAAGAAAGTGATTTGCATATTACAGAAAGCAAGAAAAGACTCACTGTAGATTTTTCTTCTCCTACCATAATGATCTCATGGGAACTGCATACCCTCTAACTGCAAACCCCAAGCCAATTGCCATAGACTGGATTCTGACTCATGGTGACCCCATGGATGTCAAAGTAAAACTGTGCTCCACAGGATTTTCAATGGCTGAGTTTTCAGAAGTTCAAGTAAGCTTGAACTTCCAACCTTTGGATAGCAGCCAAGTGCATTAGCCATCTGCACACCACCCAGTGACTCCCTATAAACCTAAATCATCCATTAACTAATAGCTCTGGAATGCAAAGGCACATGATAACCTAGAACTATGCACAGTCCACACACACACACACACACACACGAAAACGTACTCCTGAAACAAGCTAAAAAGGTAAATTTATTTAATGTTCTAATAACTGCACCTCTATTTCAATACTTCCCCAAATATGGTCCCACAGACTATCACTTGAAAACTTTTTACAAATACAAATTGTCATGCCTCACACAGACCTACTGAATCAGAAAGTATGAGGTATGTTTTTATATACCAGCAATAAACAGTTTTAAAAAGAAATTAAGAAAACCCATTCCTTTTACAAAGGTGTCTAAAAAATAAAATACTTAGGAATAAATTTAATGAAAGACCTATACACTATAAACTACACAACACTGCTGAAGGAAATTAAAGAAGATCTAAATAAATGGAAAGACATTCCACATATAGGGACTGAAAAACTTAGTATTGTTAAGATGTCAATATTACCCAAAGTGATCTAAAGGTACAGTGCAATCCTTATTAAAATTTCAACAGCCTTTTGTGCAAAAAATGGAAAAGCCAATCCCCAAGTTCATATGGACTTATCAGCAGCCCACAATACCAAAAAGAAATATTGGGGAAAAAAAAAGAACAAACTTCCCGATTTTAAGACATACTACAAAGCTATATTAGTTTTTTTAAAAAAAAAAAAAAAACAGTGTGGTACTGGTGTAACAGCAGACATACAGATCAATGGAATAGAACTGTGAATGTAGAAATAAAGCCACACATATGTGGCCAAACTGATCCTTCCCCTTTCCCCTACCCGCGCCGCCTGCAACTGGTTTTATAGATAAGGACATGCACCAAGTCTGAATTCTGGCTCTATTACTTAATAGGTGCAAATCTCAGACTCAATTTTCCCTTCCCTCATGCATACTGTTGTTAGGTCCAAGTGAGTCCAGATATTGGTCATTTGTTAAAAACGAAACAACAAAAACAGTTACTAGTCTATTCCAATTCATATGGCCAATTGACTTTTGATAAGGGTACCAAATCCATTCAATGAAGAAAGAATTTCATCAATAAATGGGGCTGGGACAATGCATTTCCACATGCAAAAGAAAGAGTCTGGACCCATACCTCACACTGTATGCAAAAATTAATTTAAACTAGACCAATGATCAAAAAACATAAGCGCTAAAACCATAAAACTCGTAGAAGAAAGCTTGTTGTGGTTGTTGTTGTTGTTATGTGCCGTCGAGTCGGACCCGACTCATAGCGACCCCTCCTTGGGTTTCCGAGGCAGTATCACTACGGAAGTAGATTGCCCCATCTTCCTTCCGAGGAGTGGCTGGTGGGTTTGAACCGCCAGCCTTCTGGTTAGCAGTCAAGTGCCTTAGCCACTATGCTACCAGAGTTCCCAGAAGAAAGCTTAGGGGTGAAGTTTCAGGATCTTCTTTTAGGCAACGAATTCTTAGAGATGACACCCAAAGCATGAGCAACAAAAGACAAAAGAGAAAAACTGTACTTCATCAAAACTAAAACAACTTTTGTACTAACAAAGTGAAGAGACGATCCAGAGAATTGGCGGGGGCGGGGATTAAAGATTAAAGAAGAAAAATGGAAAAAAGAGAAAAGAAAATAACAAGTCCTCATGAGCATGTGGAGAAATTGGAAACTTCATGCATTGTTGCTGGAAATATAAATCATGCAGCCACTGTGGAAAAGTTCGTGGTTCTTAAAAAGTTAAATACCCGCACCATGGTTAACTTTTTAAATGCATCTTGCTAAGTGAAAGAAGTCAACTGGAAAAAGATGTATACTCATATATATATGATTCCAGCAATATGGCATTCAAGAAAAGGCAAATATAAAGTCAGTAAAAAGATCAGTAGTTACAGGATTTCAGGAAGTTTTAGCTTAAATCCTACCCACAAATAACTCAAGGTTCAGATAAGGCTTCATTGGGGAATTCTAACATTGACAGAAGAAATACCAGCTCTGCAAGCTGCCATCTAGATGTAGTGATAGGTCTCTCCTTGTTCAGAGCAAAGAAGAATGAAGAAAACCAAAAATTCATGGAAACAATTAGTCCTACCGACTGGTGCACCATGCAACCTGCAGCCTATACGACTCTAAGATCAGAAGAACTAGATGGTGCCCGGGTACCACTGTTAACCACTTGGAAGGGGATCTATGTAGGAGATCCTGGATAGAGAGGGAGAAAAATGTGGAACAAAACTCAAAATCATTTGGAGAAAAAAAAAGGGGGGTGGGGACCAGATTTGATGATCCGATAGAGCCTGGTGGAACCACTGAGACTATGGCCTCTGCCTACCCTTCAGGTCTGGAATTGAACCCACACCTGTAGCTTCCAGCCAAACAGGGGACAGGCATATGAGTCGAGCATTCGCCTGGGGTAGATACATTCCTCAGAGAGAACAATCATGGGAGAAAGAAGGGCTGCGTATGCACAGAGAGACAGCTCAGGGGGCAGTAGTGCATGGAGAATGGACACAGGGAAGAGATAACTGTCAGGAGGAAGTGGGAGGAGAGCTGTGCATTGTGGTAAATTGTGGTCAATGTCATGAGACAAAGTGTGTGTGAACTGCTGTACAGAAAGTGAATTTGCTCTGTAAATTTTCACCCAAATCACAATTTAAAAAAAAAAAAGAAGAAATACCAGCTCTACAGAACCAAACCCATTGCCACCAAGTTGATTCTGATTCATAGCAACCCTCATCAGGTTTCCAAGGCTGTAAATCTTCACAGACACAGATTGCCTCAACTTACTCCCTTGGAGCAGCTAGTGGGTTCAAAGTGCCTACCTTTTGGTTAGCAGCCCAATGCCTTAACCACAGTGCCACCAAACCTCCTTAATTCTACATAAAATATTAAAATGACTTCCCAACTATACAAAAATCAAAGTCATTAGAGAAAATTACAAATATCTCTCATGAACACAGAAGCAAAACATCTAAAGAAAAATTTAGCAAACTAAATCCAACAATGAATTAAAAGGATAATACATCATAACTGAGTGGTAACATGAAAGCTGTAAGACCTCTGCCAGCTGGAGAATGAAGCTGCCT